TATCGTCTTTGAAACGAAGGCTAGCTTCAAATCAGGAAATTCACCGCAAGTATACCGATGTGATTGAAGGTTACATTCAGCAAGGTTTCGCAGAGCCGGTCCCACACACTACACCTACTACAGGTAATACTTGGTACGTTCCACATCACCCCGTCATTCACCCTTTTAAAGATAAGGTTAGGGTAGTGTACGATTGTGCGGCGAAATTCAATGGTATCTCATTGAATGATATGTTACTGAAGGGACCCGATATGATGAATGATTTGTTAGGAGTGTTACTTAGGTTCAGACAGGGTCGTGTTGCTATTGTAGGAGACATCGAAGCGATGTTCCACCAAGTTAGGATGATTGAGTCTGATAGGGATTTTTTACGTTTTCTTTGGTGGGATGGAGGCGATATTCAGAAGCCTCCGAATGAATATAGGATGTGTGTGCATCTTTTTGGTGCCACATCATCACCATCTTGTGCAGGTAGAGCTTTAAGGCAGACTGCTGCTGACTATGAGAAGAGTTTCACCGATACTATTAGTAGACGAGCCATAGACATTATTAGGTCCAGCTTTTACGTTGACGACTGTTTAGCTTCTGTTGAGAACTCAGAGTCTGCCATTAAGTTGGTTAGTAGGCTCATGGAAATTTTGGCTAAAGGCGGATTTCGTCTTACTAAGTGGTTGAGTAATGACAGGAATGTCTTAGATAGTATTGCTGAATCAGAACGAGCTGCTTCTGTGCCAGTGTCATTAGACGAGTTGCCTACTGAAAGGACATTAGGTGTGTCTTGGTGTGTAGAAGGGGATCATTTCACTTTCCAAACGTCCCTAAAGGGTAAGCCAGTCACTCGAAGAGGCTTGCTCTCAGTTACAAGCTCAATTTATGATCCGTTGGGCTTTGCAGCTCCATTAGTTTTAATCGCCAGGTCTCTTTTGCAGCAGGTGTGTAAACGTGGAGCAGGATGGGATGAACCCTTGACAGAGGAGGAGTCTAGGCAATGGAATGAATGGATTAGTTATGTGTCGAATCTATCTGAGGTTAGAGTTCCAAGATGGCTTAGGCTAGATGAAGCAGTCGATGTGCAATTACACATTTTCTGCGATGCTTCGGAACGTGGCTATGCGGCCGTAGCATATCTTAGGACTACTCTCAATGACGAAATATCTTGTCAATATGTCGTAGGTAAGGCTAGGGTGACACCCTTGAAGTCGATATCTATTCCCCGGTTAGAGTTAATGGCGGCTGTACTAGCTGTTACTCTTGACAACACTATCAGACGTGAATTAACGTATCAGTTAGATAGAACTACTTATTGGAGCGACTCTACGATAGTATTGAGTTACATCAGGAATAAAGACAAAAGATTTAAAACCTTTGTGGCCAACAGGATATCTAAAATTCATAGTGTTTCCCAGCCAGATCAATGGAGGCATGTAGGGACAAAGGAAAACCCAGCAGATGAGGGTTCAAGAGGAACGTACTCCATGGGTAAGTGGCTAACAGGTCCTGACTTTTTGATCAAAGATCCATCCCATTGGCCTGTTTCAAGGTTTGATGACCTAGATTTGTCGAAAGATCCAGAGGCCAAAAAGAATTTAGTCCAAAATGTAATCCAATCTCATCATGTACAGGTAAATAATAATAACGGACAAGATGATCTCCTAGCAGACTTAGTGAGTAAATGCTCACAGTGGACCAGGTTGGTAAGAGTGCTAGGCTGGATTCTTAGATTTAGAGACAACCTCAAGAACAAGGTTAGCAATCAACCAGGAGTAGCAGGAAATTTGTTAGTTTCAGAAGTAAAGGCCAGCGA